TACTAATCTATCAGCTTTATTGGAAAAAACAGAATAAGACATCTCCTATTGCTATTGTACTGACGAACTCTGACACTGATTTAAAACATTTGATATACTCATAATTATACAAGATAGAGTTAATTTCCAGATTCATATGTTACAAAGCTAGAAAGGATGGAGTGATCATCCAGTATAGCCTTCTATATAGCACAGAGTAAAAGACCTGAATTAATTTCTGTTTGAACTAGAACACCTTTACCAGTACATTTCAAGCTCAGCTACGGTTTATTAACAACACACACCTCCCCACCTTTCATACATGCAAGTGTTCTAATTTCATAGCAATTACTAAACTGATGGCAGATTCATAAACCTATAAAGGGACTTGCTATCCCTCTCACTCTTTTAAACCAACTCAATATTAAACATACTGCAGGACTTTCAGTTTCTTTGCCAAGTTCCTATTGTGTGATCTGGGGAACAAGTTGGAAAGCTAGGCCACAACTTAAGCAATTACCCCTGAAACTTTTAACTCACCTTCACCCCAGAAGAGCTGACCATCTCAAGAGATTTGATAATGCAGACTTTGTGCTTTAGAACCAAACAGTGTAGGACATTTATCAAAAAGGAAAGGTATGATTAAATGACCTTTTTTGGACTTTTTTTTTCAGTTTCAAAGAGCACAGTTATGCATTTATAATACACAAGAATTGCTTACCTATTTCTGGAACAGCTTGACTGCCCTGACAGCATACAGTTTGACCCCTTTCCTAGTTTTCTTTCATAAATGAATGTTCCACAGAATTTGACACTGTTTCCAAAAACACCAATGCAGTGAATTAGATTAAATTATTCCTAGATGCATGCTTTTACAGGTTTTTTTATAGAATCTCAAAGTTTGTGATATGCACCAGTGTCGTAGAGTAACTAGGGAGAGTAAAAACCAGCTGAAAAACTGCTGCCTCTTATCTATCTATTTGATTCCCTGTGATGTCTGAAACTGAGATGGCAATTAATTAACACACACTTTGTCAGCAGGTCACATGTTATCCACTTTAACTATAGAACCTAGAACTTCAAGCTGTCCGTGAGGGCATTTCTTGGTTCTACTGAAAGAAGAGAGAAACCTGTATTTCAGCAAGATCCTTTGGTTTCTGTTTCTTCATTGGTGTCTCTCCTTTCCATTAAAATGGCTGCAATGCTTCAAACCACAAACATATCTACTGCAGAACCCTTTATAAAGTGTCTTTACAAAATACAAGTCAGGTAAGCCTTTACTATCGCTATTTGAAAAGATATTGTTATCACTATTTGAAAGATATTTGCTTTGTAAAGTGGTGAACAGAGAAGATAATTCCTCTGACCTCCCAATTGCTCATTCTCATTTCTCTATATGATCTTGAGCGCTTAGATTTCTGAGTCTTGTCCCTTCATGTAGTTAGGGAACTCAGAATGGTTTGCTTTTCAATTATTGCCTGAATCCTAAATTATTCTTAAAACAGCACCAGATCAAACAATCCCAGTAGGGTTTGCACTCTGCAAATGAAGGGTGTTGTCAGAATACACTTTCCTGTATTAGACACTGTTACAGAGCCCCATTGTGTTGCCTGTCTGACTCTTACCAGGCGAGAAATGCTCCAAGTTGTTAATTTCAAGGAGAAATGATTTGGGCATAGGCCGGGAGAGAAGGACAGACAGAGAACAGATAAACAGGAAAAAAATAAGGGCAAGGAAGCTTTAGTAATCGACTGATACAAGGAAAGGAGTATGAGTGAAGTTTTTGTTTAAAGCAAGCCCAGGTGCCAAAAAAGAGTTACCTTGTAGTTTATAATTCTGTGTGCAGTAATGAGCAAATGCAGCAGAGGCTGTCTACTGCTGTGAAGGTAGTACATATTCGTTCAATCTTTTCTTCTGTTTTTTAGCACAGGCACAGAACATCTGAATATTTTCAATTGGTCAGGGCTCCCTTGAAACATATATATTAAATTATGAAAATCAGAGATGACAGGCAGCAAACCTCTTGCAACAGCTGATCTCCAAAAGACATGGATTGAAAATGATAAAAAGAAAAAATCTCTTTAAACTGCCCTTTGATTGAAAACAAACTTTAAAATTAATGGGCATTTTAATTAAAAATAAACAAAATCTCTGTTCAATGGAAAGTGTTTCCTGCTTTTTTAATTTCAAAAATTACCTGTTTTGTTCTTGTTTTTGAGAAAATCTAATAAAAAGGAGGAAGGAATATGCAAAACAACAACAAAACTATATTTATAGAATATTTTCAAGGGCAAAAAAGTATTTCTCACCCAGATCTACAGATCACCAGATAACCAAAATCAAAACACTGCAGTTGGCAGTCTAACCAATAACCTGCAAGTAATGCTATTTTCTTTTGGAACTGTCTAATATCAATGCAGTATCTCTGGAACAAACTGATGTGGCTAGATACAAGTTTAGTTCATTAATAGAGCTTAGTTTATTAGCTTGATTTCTCAACTGTTTACATACTATGGCTTTGATTTTCTCACCTAATGAGGGAAGTTAGGAATCCAGTCTTCTGCTATTCCCAGAAACCATGGCATAGAAACTCAGCCCAAAACGTATCAACAATGTGTAGTTGTGTGACTTAGCTGGAAGGTTTCTGCAGAAGAGCACATCTCTGGTAAATGGAAAACATTTTTCTAATTTCCAACATACATTCATGGCCAGCTCATTCCTACTTGCTATTTCCCACACAGTCACCGTGTGTTAGAACTTGTCTTAGTCTCTTTTTCTTGATATTCACCTCAGCCTTTAATTCACTTCAACTGCTAATGCACTTTCCAGCAGTAACCACCTAACTCTCCTCAGTCTCCATATTGCTAGGCTAAACAAACCAAGCTTTTATCGTCTCCGTTTTCCTGATCTTTCTAGCAATACTCATCTGTGCCTGTTTTACTCTGAATCCATCTTTTCTGAACCCAGGTGACTGGACTGTATGCTATATTGCATTTGAAGTTTTAGCACCAGCTCAACAACGCAGAAATAAAAGAGAAGTTTTCCTTTATCACACTAATATTTGGTAGGCTACCTAATTATGATAGTCCCCTTCCAGACGCCATGGGGAAGTCTCTGTCACAGAAAACACAACTGCTGGTGTTAACTGACATAATCCTGGGCTTTCTCACGAAAGCAGGACTAACTTGTTAAAAAATGAACAAATAAACAGCATAACAGCATAAACCTGTCTTTTAACTCCTATAACCTTTTCTTTTCATTGTAGCCAACAAAACAGTGTGGGGGGGGATTGGGAGGAGTGCATTGCTGATGCTAGCTATGTTTGTCTGTATGTCTGTATGTACAGGCTCCATAATTTAGGGTCACCTGTTTATTATGCCCATCACCATTAAGGCCTTGATTTAGCAATTTTTGAAACACATGTTCAGATGTAGGCATATATACCTGACATGCACTCACTTCCACAGGCTGCTTCACCTGCTTAACTAAACAAACAAACAAACAAACAGACAAAAAAACCACTGTCTGCTCTTGAAATGTGGTTATTTAATTTAACCTGCTTGGGAGGCTGCTATGCAGTCTGACATATTGTATTTGGTTAAATAGCTGTCTGATTAAATATCTTCATAGCTGTTTGATCCTGTACCTTTCGGGAAGGGATGCAAAGGAGATTTTTATTAAAGTTCTAGGTAGTCATGAAGAATTGTACTTTGATATCTATTGTAAGCATTTACCTGATTTTCCACCAGCAGGAAAAATGTCTGCTTTTTTTTTTTTTTTTCCACTGTTACTTACAAGAAAGACATGGGCTGGTCAGGAGTACATGATAGTGGACAGTGTCGATATAGCTCTGAATCTTTTGTTTTCTTCACCAGCTTGCTGCAAAAAGAAACTGCCTAGAGGGTAACCATGGTAAAGACAAGCCCCTCAGTGTGAGCTGAAGATAAAAGATGCAATGTTTTTATGTGTCTGCAGAGAGCTGGACAATAGCACTTGAGTGAACTGCCCCATTTGTTTCCATGAGGTGTTAACTCTAATACCCAGGGATAATAATGTGATGTCACCACAGCAAACTATTTCATTCTTCATGAAAGCAGATTTGAAAAATTTATTGTGAGATCTCATTTTTCTCTCAAACTGTAGTCTGTTTTATGCAGACTGTCTTGTTACTCCCTTCAGCTTTGTAGTACCTGAGTGCCTTCCTACACAACAAGCAATGCCTCCCCGCAAAGTCCAGTCCCTCTCCTTTCCCCTCCCCTGTGGCGGAGAACGTATATCACGCTGCCGCGCCAGTTGCTGAGGCACTCC